TTCACATGAGGCGCTTAGGGAGTGGAGTAGGTAGAGTTATTATTCTATATTAAGATAAAAATATGTATTATGTTAGTGACGATTTATAATGGAGTAGGTAGAGTTATTATTCTATATTAAGATAAAAATATGTATTATGTTAGTGACGATTTATAATATATTCCTAGTAAGAACAATATTTTTTATACAGGCTAACGCACTAAGGTTCGTCAGATGTATACATAACAAGCGATGTAGCGGTTAGGCTCTGATCCGAGGAAAGAGTCGAGAAGGGTTTATTCAAATTCACATGAGGCGCTTAGGGAGTGGAGTAGGTAGAGTTAGGAAAGAGTCGAGAAGGGTTTATTCAAATTCACATGAGGCGCTTAGGGAGTGGAGTAGGTAGAGTTATTATTCTATATTAAGATAAAAATATGTATTATGTTAGTGACGATTTATAATATATTCCTATTAAGAACAATATTTTTTATACAGGCTAACGCACTAAGGTTCGTCAGATGTATACATAACAACTCAGAGGTAACAACTAAGATATTTAAAGTGATAGAAAAATTCTACTATAAGGAGACATAACAACTCAGAGGTAACAACTAAGATATTTAAAGTGATAGAAAAATTCTACTATAAGGAGAAGATTTTGTTGATTTTGTTGATTCAGAAATTAATTATTTTCTCTATAAATATTTTGAATATTCTCCGTGTAATATTCATCATCTATTTTCTTCTACTAAATACCTTTCGTTTCTGAAAATTGGAATTCATGGCGGCTCATCATTTGGTCATCTTCATCGGGCTTCTCATGGTCGTCACCCATGCCCCGATAGTCACTTCTGACCAGAGCTTGTTTTACCGGCGTTTTGGGGGAATATCCACAGAGATGAAGACGGGTGGTGTTGATTTTTTTGGAAGATCTCTACCCGTAGTTCCAGGGGGTCCAAACCCAATTCATAACCGTGTTCCTCTTACACCTGCTCGATTCTAAATATATATTTGAGAAATTATCCTCACCAATTTACTAAATAATGAACTCTTTATGATGTCAATCAACATTGGTGGTGGTGTTGGTTCACCTGTACTCTCTTCTTATTTATCACAGTATGCTAATAAAAATTTATTATCATTATTCAATTTATATCTTATAAGTCGTGATCTCACCCTTCTTTATGATATTATATTAAAAAAAATTGGTGGTGGTGTTTCACCGAAACTTTTTTTTTTCTCGTTCAATTTTATATTTGATAAATTTTATAGTTTATAAGTCGTTATCATTGGTGTTATGAGAGAGCATGGATGTTTTTGGTGGTTCTCTTCTATTCATTTCTGCTCCAACTGATGTGAGATCTCAAAATGTGCTCTTCATAATTAAGCTCCTCTTTCATATACTCCACTTTAAATATTTATTTACAAACTTATCCCGACAATTTTACTAAATAACTCATGATATTAATAAACATAGTATTGTGTCACCAAAACTCTCTCTTTTCTTTTTTATTTTCTCAACTAAATGGTTCATAGAAATATATTTAATATATATATTAAAAGCGATAATTAATGATTAGGAAGTGAATTTTTGATTATATAATACATTAATTAATTGTACCATCAGCGAATCGACTCAAGTCTAAGAGTATTTTTTGTATTAATTATATCAATAAGTCTATAATAAATGTTATTATATTTTCAACACTTTATTACGTTTTTTAATTTTATATATTTAATAATTCTTAACAATTTTACTTTTATTAAGTCATATTATTAATTTAATTTTAATTAATTAAATGTTAATTTAATTTTCCTTAAAATCTAGGTTTTTGGTGGGTAATAAATGTTAACAATTATTCTCACACAAATTATTTTAATAAAATTAAATAAATTTTTAATCTTAAATATATAGGGAATAAATATTTAATGTTAAATATTTAGTCTACTCCTATTTCAAAAATTGAATATTAGGTAGAACCGAATAAATTATATTAAATAAGATAAAATTCTAAACGTTATATCAATCTTATACCATTATAATAATTTATTTATAAAACAATAATATGCTTTAAATTTTAATTTAATTTCATTCATTAAAAATTATACTATGCATTACATTTTTTAGATTGTGACATCAATATGATTATTTTCTTATGTTTCATCAATTTCTTTATTTATTCATTTACTATTTATTTTTTTAATTATTTTTATTTTAACTTATTATTTTTTCATTATAATTATTTTTTTTTTATTAAAATTCGTGTTAAATATAGCAGAGTTTTAATAATAATAATAATATTAAATTAGGACAATTGAGAATACAGTATTTAAAAATTTTGGTTGACCGAAAATAGTTAGATCTTTAAATAATATTCAAATTAAGTAATTAAAGGCCAATGAAATAGAAAAAAAAAATTATTTATGGAAAATAACCGTTAAAATATTAATAACGTGAAGATTTTATTTGAATATTGTGGATACAATCCATTACCTATTTTCTTTTACCAAAATATGACGATAATTAGAATTCATGGCGACTCATCATCTGAATTTTTATCTCGTCATCTTTATCGGACTTCTTGTCGTCGTCACCTACATCTCGGTGGCTACTTCTGACCAAAGCTTGTTTTATCGACATTTTAGGATATATCCACCGAAATGAAGATGGGTGGTGTGGATTTTTTTCGAAGGCTTCTACATGAAGTTTTGGAGAGATAAAAGCTCAATTCATAATCAAGTTACTCTCTCATCTTCTAAATCATTCTCACCCATTTATTAAAGGATGAATTCCTTATAATATTATATTAATAAAAATTGGTGGTGTTGTTTCGGTGAAACTTTTTTTATTTTCTCGTTTAATTTTATATTTGATAAATTTTATATCTTATAAGCGATTATCATCGGTGTTAGAGAGAGAGTGATGTTTTTTTTTTTGTGGTTCTCTCCATTCAGTTTTGGTAAGTTGGTCCTGTAATAGTTTAAGTCCACTGGATATATTTTTAAATTTAGATTTTTGAGTTTGTTTATCCGATTCATAAATATTGTATATACAAAAATATATGTTATTTTAGATACATCGATTTCTTTATGAAAAAATAACTAAATAATTATTTAAAATGATGAAGAATTCAACCAATTAGTGGGAAGAGAGCCTACTTCTTTACCTAATATGTCCCCTAATTTTCCTATAAATATTTCAATAACCTCGTTATAACGTTCATTATCCGTTTTCTTCTACAAAAATCTCGTTTGATTCTTATACTCGAATTTTCGACAACTCATTTCAACTTTCATTTTGTCATCTTCAACGAACTTTTCAACATCAGCCATGTTTCAGTGGCCACTTCAAACCAAAAACTTGATCTTTTCAATGTTTTGGGAGTAATTAATGAGATGAGATCGGTGAAAGAGACACGGATAGGTGATGTTGATGTTCTTCGAGGTTCTCTACGTAGTATTCCAACATGTCCAAACGTCATTCATAATTAAGTTCTTCTACCATCTACTCCGCTCTAAATATATATTTACAAAATTATCCTTACCATTTTACTAAATAATCAACTCGCTATAATATTAATAAATGTTAGTGATGTTTTTTCACAAAAACTTTTTAAATCCCTTCTTATTGGATTGATCGTTAATAGAATTATAGAGTCGTATATTCAATTTTATATGTTATAAATCTTTACCACTCCATTGTATTAATTAAATATTTTTTAAAATTTTTAATATCCACGTTAAAATTTTATATAAATATAGTATTAAAAACTATGCATATTTTGATAGGATAAAAATATGGTATCATATCATGTATATACCTACTAACCATATTTATAACCGCTAAGATATTTAAAGCTATTTATAACAGCTCAGAAGAGTTCAACCATTAGGAGTAGATTTGTTTGATTCAAAAGTTAATTATTTTCTCTATAAATATGTTTTAATATTTTACTTGTAATACTTTGGTCGGTGATAATTGAAATTTATGGCAACTCATCATTTGGTCATCTTCATGGGACTTTTCATCGTCGTCACTCACGCTCCGGCGGTCGCTTCTGATCAGAGCATGTTTTACCGAAGTTTTGAGGGAATATCCACAGAGATGAAGTCCATGAAAGAGATGAAGACGGGTGAGACGGGTGATGTTGATTTTTCTGAGAACTCTCTACACTTAGTTCTAGATGGTCCAAACGCACTTCATCACCGTGTTCCTCTTACACCTGCTCCGTTCTAAATATATTTGAGAAATTATCCTCACCAATTTACTAAATAATGAACTCTTTATAATGTCAATCAATATTGGTGGTGGTGTTTCACCTAAACTCTCTCCTTATTTATCACAATATCGCAAATAAATTTTTATTTATATCTTATAAGTCGTTTCATGGAGGGGTCCAAACACTCTTCATATTTAAGTTCAAGTGAATTTTCGAATCACATACATTTTGAGAAAATTTCTACTTAAATCTCCTTACCAATAGTTATATACTGTTAGTCGTTGTTGTTACTCTCTTGCTTGCATATATAACGTCTCTTTCAAAATCTCTCTTTTGAAAATCTCTCTACCCTCGTTTTCTAAAGTCTTCTTAAACCAGGGTCAGAGGCTCAAACATACGTCGTTTGGCCGTAGGCGACGTCAGAACAAATTGGCTTAGCTCACTTGTCGTTGAGAAGTGAGTGCCGCACAATCGCAAGTCCGCTGCCATCAAGAATACGATTTCTACTTAAATGAGAAAGGGAATAATTTTTTCTCTATTATTTATGACCAAACATAATGATAGTTGAAAAAATTTATAATCTAATTCTTAGAAAAAATTTGTCAACCAATCAACAAAGAAAGACTTTCAACAAAACAAATGACAAGTCACCGCAAGATGGGGTCTAATTTCTACTTTTATGGTGGAGCATTGTCAGTTCATCTCTGAGATCCCTTCGACACCTCTATATATATATATATATATATATGTTTGAACAAACAATTCTCTCACAGAAAGGGTGGATCACAATTTGGGATATCTTTCTTTCAAACCTCTTCTTTTCATCATCCTGAAAAATGCCGGTTGGAACTCTTGAAGTTCTTCTTATTTCGGCCAAGGGGCTCGAAAATACGGATTATCTCTGTAAATTCCCGCTTCCTTTTGGGATCGATCGATAGATCGTATTTTATTTTGGTTCCATTTTTCAGCCATTTTGGTGTTTATGAAACATTTTGATTGTTATTTTGATTTGATCAGGTAACATGGATCCTTATGTTGTTCTTACTTGCCGTTCACAGGAGCAGAAAAGCAGCATCGCTTCAGGTTTGTTTATGTTGTACAATTTTGGTAACTTTTTTTTAAGTGGTTTTACCGTTGTTGATTGCGTACAGGAAAGGGATCGAACCCTGAATGGAACGAGACTTTTATATTCAGTATATCTGAAGGTGCAAAAGAGCTCAATTTGAAGATAATGGACAGCGACACTGGCACGCAAGATGATTTAGTTGGTAGAGTAAGGTATGTAAAATGCTTCTTAATTATCTTAATTAGTCTCTGTAAACATGTGAGATCCCATGTCTGTCGTAGAGGAGAGCGAAACATTGTTTATAAGGGTTTCGGAAACATTTTTGAGGGGAGGGAAAGCTTAAAAAGGACAATGTTGGACTTAAGCTCTTACAAATGGTATCAGATCCATACATTGGGCGGTGTGCTAGCGAGGATGTTGGATCTGAAGGGGTGGATTGTGAGATCTCTTGTCTTAGAGAGAGGAACGAAACATTCCTCATTAGGGTTGTGGAAACCTCCCCTAGAAAATGTGTTTTAAAACCTTGAGGGAAAACCCGAAAGAAAAAGCCCGAGAGAATTAATGTGTTTTAAAACCTTGTGGGGAAGCCTGAGAGAGAAAGCCCAAAGAGGACAATATCTGCTAGCGGTGGGCTCGGACTGTTACAAATGGTATCAGAGCCATACACCGGGCAGTGGGCAATGAGGACACTGACCCCAAGGGGTGGATTGTGAGATTCCACGTCGGTTGAAGAGGAGAACGAAACATTCCTTATAAGGCTTGTGGAAACCTCTCCCCAGCGAGGCCACGTCGGTTGAAGAGGAGAACGAAACATTCCTTATAAGGCTTGTGGAAACCTCTCCCCAGCGAGGACACTGACCCCCAAGGGGGTGGATTGTGAGATCCCACGTCGGTTGAAGAGGCCTCTCCCCAGCGAGGACACTGACCCCCAAGGGGGTGGATTGTGAGATCCCACGTCGGTTGAAGAGGAGAACGAAACATTCCTTATAAGGCTTGTGGAAACCTCTCCCCAGCGAGGCCACGTCGGTTGAAGAGGAGAACGAAACATTCCTTATAAGGCTTGTGGAAACCTCTCCCCAGCGAGGACACTGACCCCCAAGGGGGTGGATTGTGAGATCCCACGTCGGTTGAAGAGGCCTCTCCCCAGCGAGGACACTGACCCCCAAGGGGGTGGATTGTGAGATCCCACGTCGGTTGAAGAGGAGAACGAAACATTCCTTATAAGGCTTGTGGAAACCTCTCCCCAGCGAGGACACTGACCCCAAGGGGGTGGATTGTGAGATCCCACCTCAGGTTGAAGAGAAGAACGAAACATTTCTTATAAGGCGTGTAGAAACCTCTCCAAAACGTGTTTTAAAATTTTGAAAGAAGCCCGAAAGAGATATCAGATCTATATATTGGGCGGTGTGCCACTGAGGACATTGGGCCTCGAAGATGATGAATAGTGAGATCTTAGTCGGTTGGAGAGCGGAACGAAACATTATTTATTAAAGTTGTGGAAACCTCTCCAAACACCAAACAAACACACCATCAAAGACGTTTGGACCCACAAGAGAAATGGAAAGGAAAAGGCGAAAGAAAACCATATCCGAGAGTAATGGCTAGGTGGTGGGTATGTTTATGCAGAATTCCTTTGGATCCTGTTTACCATGAAGGAAGCCTGCCAGCAACAGTATACAACGTGGTGAAGGATGAACAATACTGCGGAGAGATCAAAGTTGGCCTTAATTTTGCTCCTGAGGTCAGTGGGTCTCTTTTAGTATCACATAAAATAGTGAGCTTTTCACTTGTACAGACAAAGGGTATTCTCTTCCACAGAAAAGAAGTGCAAGAAATTTTCAAATGGAAGAAGAAGACTATGGTGGATGGAAGCAGTCCTCATATATGTAACAACGACCACACCACCACTCCATGATTGTTCGTTCTTGTGGCTTCGGGTATTAGGAGCGAAGAATGTAACATGACCATATAGCAGAAGAATGTCGAAGTCATGAATGTTGGACATAGATCGTTACAAATTCCAACCATTATGATATTTTTGTGACATATATAAATTATATATGGATTCAAAGTTAGGAGTAGTTGGTAATATAAAATTTATAATAAGGTCAAGAAAAGGTTGGCATTGTTGTGTGGTTTGACCTTCCATCCCCAAAGGGAACATAACTAACAACTTTTCTTCATTGCCATAATTAAATAAAGGCAAGTCGGTGGTTGCCTTAGATTCCATTGCTCTTCTTTCATCCTTAATTATTTTATGTTCACATTAACAATAGCCTTCTAGTTTCCAATAAATTATTACATTCATACTTTTTTTTTTTATTAAAAAAATTACACGTGAATAGATATCCACACTCTTACAAGAAAGGGTTCGTTTCCCTTTCCAATCTATGTTTAAATTACAAGTTTATACTTTCGAAAAACTTTTGGATTCAACGCAGAGTTAAATGGTAATCTATTAACTTAAATTTTTGGGACCATAGCTTTGTGTTCATTTGATTCACGAACCTTAAGAGTGTCAAATTTGTAAACTTTCAATTTTGTGTCGAGTGTTTATTAAACTTTTAATATTTTAATTATGTATTTAATAGGTAATTTAATTTTCAATTTTGTATTTTATGATCTATTCAATATCTTTAAATAAATTTAAAGACGTACTATACATTAAAAGTTATACATAAATTCTATATATATTCGTTCATATCTAATGTTCAGCTACGTGGGTGTAATATGCCCGAGGCTCTTTTAAATCGTTGACTATGCTCATTAAAATTTTGTCATAGATCCTTGGCCATTCTAAAAAGAAATTAAAAAATTTTCAGAATGGCATTCGATTTTCACAAACCCGTCAACCCCCATAATGGAAATATGACGTTAGCTTTTTGACTTAGTTGGGTGGATCTTGGAAGATATGAAAGACCTCCCGATTGAGAATCTGATCAAGAATCTTTTCTCTTATATTTTGCATTTTTAACGGTTGACAAGCAACTCTATCTATAGTGATTGAGTTCGTCGTATATGTATATGTATATGTATATGTATATATATATATATATATATATATATATATATATATATATATATATATATATATATATAT